AGCACATAGGTTAGTACCTAGGGTTTCATCAATTCACCAAAACCAAACTAGAGCTTTCAATGTTGGTGCTAAAGATGTGTAAATCTTGGACCTAAGTGCATTATTCACGTCTAAGTTCTATTCGAATGTTTAGCTGTGTTTGAACCTTTTGATAGGCTAGTACTAATTTTTTTCATCTATTGAAGTATCCAATTTATGGTGCCTTTCCTCATATTTTGTGCCCCACCCCTCCTTTCCTTAGGGCCTGTTTGGTTCAAGGGACTAGAGACTAAAACAGGGACTAAACTTTAGTCCCTTACCCTATTTGGTTCAAGGGACTAAAGACCATGAAGGCAGTTAAACAAAGACCAAGATAACCCTATTCAATGCACTAATCTGCTGGGGGCTGTACCCCTGTTGCCGCACTAGCCATGCTTGTCGCACTGCCCAGCTTGCCTTGTCATGTTGCCCTGCTTGCCTTGCCACGCTGCTGGCAGGCTTTGCACGCCCCAAATTATTCATATATTCAAAATAATGTTCATGCAGTAAACAAATCTTCATTATTACAAATCATCAGACCTTCGACCTACTAAACAAACCATCGACTATCCAATCCCAAAACTGATTCATATTTTGATCTTTGTCCCCTTGACGTGTACTAGCTCTATTTCATTGAGAAGACGATGCTTCGGCTAGTGGAACGTAGTTTTCATCATGATCACACATATCAAAGTCCCTATCCGCTAACTTTCTTGAATGAAATTATGAAGGGCCATGCACACGATAATTATTTGGCTTTGCTTTGGCATTGGATAACTCGGTAAATCTAACAAAATCCTCCACTTCATCTTCAAAACTCCAAAAGACTGCTAGATGACATTTCATAGTGAAGAATGTGCATAATTAAAGAGCTCCTTTTTACCTCTTGGCATTGGGCCTTGCCGAAACTCTAGGAGATGATACTTTATACCCTTGTATGGTGCAAGACAACCCTGTCGGTTTCGGTAACCCAAGTTGACAAGATAAAACTTCCCTACACAATCATAATTTTTTTGTAAGTGAAAGGTCCTAATGGCTAGAGGGGGCATGAATAGCCTATTAAAATTTTCTACAACAACACTTAGCAAACCGGTTAGATAATTATGAGGCAAAGCAAGTGTTGCGCTACCCTACTAAAAATGCAAGCCACCTACCATAATTCTAGTTTCTATAGTTTCTAACCACACAATGGCTATGCCACTATACTAAGTTAGTGTGCTCTCAAAGACTAACTAAAGAGCCACACTAACCAAACTAACAAGCTCTTACAACTAGCTACACTAAAGAGCTTGATAACTAGTTTGCGGTAATGTAAAGAGAGTGAGCAAGATGGTTATACCGCCGAGTTGAGGAGTGAACCAATCAATCATAAGAATGAATACCAATGAAAACCAATCACCTCAAAATCAAATGTTGACACAATAACTTTTTACCGAGGTTCACTTGCTTGTTGGCAAGCTGGTCCTTGTTGTGCCGATTCACTCACTTGGACGTTCACACGCTAATTGGCATCACACGCCAAACCCTCAATAGGGTGCCGCACAACCAACACAAGATGAGGATCACACAAGCCACAAGCAATTCACTAGAGTACCTTTTGGCTCTCCGCCGGGGAAAGATCAAGAACCCCTCACAATCACCACGATCGGAGCCGGAGACAATCACCAACCTCCGCTCGATGATCCTCGTTGCTCCAAGGCGACTAGGTGGCAGCAACCACCAAGAGTAACAAGCAAATCCTGCAACGAAACACGAACACCAAGTGCCTCTAGATGCAAACACTCAAGTAATGCACTTAGATTCTCTCCCAATCTCACAAAGATGTTGAATCTATGATGGAGATGAGTGGAGGGCTTTGGCTAAGCTTACAAGGTTGCTATGTCAATGCAAATGGCCAAGGAGTGAGCTTGAGCCAGCCATAGGGCTTAAATAGAAGCCCCCACGAAATAGAGCTGTTGTACCCCTTTACTGGGCACAACTCGGGGTGACTAGACGCTCTGGTCATATCGACCGGACGCACCCTGCCAGCGTTCGGTCAACGGATCGCTGCCACGTCATCTCTCTCTTCAAATACTGAGCGCCCAATCCCAACGGTCAAGTGATTATCGGACGCAACATAGTGCCACGATCGGACATAGGAGCCTAGCGTCCAATCACTTCTAGTAAGGTTCCAGCTGTGACCGGACACGTCAGTTTGATCATGACCGGACGTAGGACCCCAGCGTTCGGTCATTTCCAGTAAGCCTCCACTCACGACCAAAGCGTCCGATCAAGCCCGATCGGACTCACCCAGCGTCTGGTCACACACAGTCTCCTCTGTGCACTGCCACGTCAGCAAGACCGGACGCACTCATCCAGCGTCCGGTCACAAAGTGGCCTAGCGTCCGGTCACTCTGTGAAATCCTATCTTTTCTATATAGGGCGCCGGTGGCACCGTCGGACTGTCCGCACTCTACGGGCGGACACTCCGCCAGTGAAGATTCTTACCTTAGCTCAAATGTGCCAACCACTAAGTGTATCACCTTGTGCACATGTGTTAGCATATTTTCACAAACATTTTCAAGGGTATTAGCACTCCACTAGATCCTAAATGCATATGCAATGAGTTAGAGCATCTAGTGGCACTTTGATAACCGCATTTCGATACGAGTTTCACCCCTCTTAATAGTACGGCTATCGATCCTAAATGTGATCACACTCACTAAGTGTCTCGATCACCAAAAACAAATTTGCTCCTACCACTTATACCTTTGCCTTGAGCCTTTTGTTTTTCTCTTTCTTCTTTTCAAGTCCAAGCACTTGATCATTACCATGGCATCACCATCATCATGTCATGATCTTCATTTGCTTCACCACTTGGAATGTGCTACCTATCTCATGATCACTTGATAAACTAGGTTAGCACTTAGGGTTTTATCAATTCACTAAAACCAAACTAGAGCTTTCAGTAAGTCACATGCAAAGTATGAGAATCTAGGTGAGAGAAGAGATCATAGGACACGTCAATACCTTGAGGTGGATGTGGAAACTTGTCGCCATACTTCTCAATTGCATCTTTGAATACCCTCATATCATGAACAGATCCAGGCCATCCCGCCACAACAGATGTCGACCTAGGAGTTCAAATCTAGGTTCTCCATGCGCATCCAGGGAGCAGACAGGCTGGGGGCGGCATAGGGAGAAGATGAGGCCTAGGAATGAAGGTCGAACTCGTCGGCGTTGGGGAAGGCAGGGTAGGCAGAGGAGCCGATGGCGGTGTAGGAAGAAGACGATGCCTGAGGGAAGTAATCCCAATAGTTGTTCCCGTGGTCGTTCATGGCGGATGCGGCATGGGGAGGGGGGGAGGATGCCGCCTAGGGAGGGAGGGGGTGGGTCGGGCGTGTGGGCAAGCGGAGCTGGCATGCTGAGCGGGCAGGGAGGTGTGGCGAGTGGGTTCGGAGGGCACGAGAGTGGACAATAATTGAGGGGCAGGCCTAAGTCTATTTGGGCCATGTTTAGATTGCAAAAAATTTCAACCCGATAAATAGTAGCACTTTCGTCTTATTTGGTAAATATTGTCCAATCGTGGACCAACTAAGCTCAAAAGATTCATCTCGTGATTTTCAACTAAACTGTACAATTATTTTTTTTTACCTACATTTAATGCTCCATGTAAACGGCTAAAAATTGATATGATGGAGAGAGAGTAAAAAAACTTGGAATTTGGAGGTGATCTAAACAAGGCCTTGGGCCTTTAGTCCCTAATAGCCACCCCTCGAGGGACTACATGGCTAAACCATTTTAGTCCCTCTTTTAGTCCATGTTTGATAAATTAGGGACTAAATGAGGCTAAAATGGGGGGACTACAGTTTAGTCCCATGGAACCAATAAGTCCCTTGGTGTCAGGGACAATGAGCTCATCATATCTACTCAAAGTTCGATTAGACCATGGGTACAACAATGGACTAGGATGAAAATAGCTAGAACTAGAAAAAAAAACCCACAACTCCGTAAACATTGATCTTCTCTGTCTGAATGAAAATGTGTCAGCAACAACTATGCTGCAAGTTACACAACCTGCTGTACTTTGATTGAAATGGTTTTATCGATGTCACTATTTATCTTTCTGTAATTATTTATTTAAGACTGATTTTTCAATAATCAATCCTTACATGTGAGTTGAATAAATGTATTTTGATAAAAAAAAGTTTAATAAAATAGATTTTGACCGTTAATTTGTCTTAATATATATTGTCATTTGCTAAAGAACTATTCACATAACTTTTGCATTTTAAATACAATCCAGTACATTGATACAAATTTCATATTTTGAACTTGTATATAACTTAAACAATTGTTAGTCAAAAATTATATAAATTGTTTTTTTTCCTATTTAAAATATGATATTATTTTGGGACGGGTGGAGTAGTTTGCTAGCTCGTGTCCTCCGTCACAGTCGATGCGGCGTAGCAGTTTGTTTGTGGGCTCGAACCTCGTGCCCTTCTCGGGGTGGAATGTCCTACAGAATATCTTTGGGCCTATTGTTACTAGAGCCCATCCAAATCTAATGTTGGCCCAAGGCCCATGAATTGTAACACACGCACGCACTCGAACACCCCTGAGCCGTCAGCCCCGCCCTCAGCCCAAGCCAGACGCAGCAGCTAGGCATTGCAGATTGCACTTGCAGGTGTACAGGATCATGAGCACATGAGATAGAAGAAATCGATGGTTGGATTGGATTGGATGATATCTGAGACCGGGAAGCGTCAGTGCCTAGCTAGTTCCAAGAGAACCAATAAGTGATTCATCACGTACAAAATATAACACTGAAAATCGAAATGAGCCAAGTCTAACAACGTCTCGATCCCTTTGGTAATTGGTACTTAAAACAAAAGCAGAGCAGGGCACACAATGCAAGGTGATTCGGCAATGGAGACAGCTAGCTAGCACTCCCAGTCTCTCAGCCGCTAAAAACGACTTCAGCTGAAAACGGCCTCGCTCGCTCACTTCTTGTCGTCCTTCTTCCCCGCCGCCGCCTCCGGTTTCTTGCCGTCGTCCTTCTTTGCCGCCGCCGCCTCCGGTTTCTTCTCCTCGGGTTTCTTCTCGGGCTTCTTCTCCTCCTTGGCGGGGCCCACCGAGACGATGTCGACCTTGCCGAGCTTCTTCAGCTTCTTGGCGATGGCCACCGTGTCCATGTCGCCGATCACCGTCATCTTGTTCTCCTTCACGTCCGCCGCGATCGAGTCGATGCCTGATGAACCAACCAACCAACAAGACGTACGAGTACGACGGACTCCGTCAATCAATTATATATGTAATAATATAATTCTGTCAGCTAAGCAAGCAGGCAGGCAGAGCTGGTGGTCTCTAGCTAGTTTCTACTGGTGGCAGGCACTGATGGATCGTGTAATTCACTCACGACCACGATCGATGATTGGATTCTCCTCCGTGTGCTGCTGGTTTCGATCGATCAGCTGGTCATGTCGTTTACGCAGCATCTTTTTTAGTACTTTTCTTTTATTTCTTTCAGTTTTGATTATCTTCTGACCACATGTCATCAGTCATGACTGATGAGTGATGGCCCACCTCACGTTCTGACAATTGATTCTCTCGGCCCCGTGTTTGATTGTCAGGCATCGCAATCCAATTCCATCTCCACCTAACGATCTGACCTGACCGTGCCAGCTTTAATACGATCACAAGATCGAATAGTTCAGCTACCAATTGGTCGTAAAGCCATTTCCCTGATTCTGAATAACAATAACGACAGCTGCATATACAGCAGCAGCTCTAGCAAGCTCACAAGGCCAACAATGAAACCAAGGAAGAAATTAAGGTGAAAGCAAGCAACCTGGACTGGTACGTATCTAGTTTCAGGCTTTCAGCTGCAGAGATCATGCATATTTTTTCACAGCTCTCTCCCCCACCCCCGTCCAAATTCACTAAACTGACTGCCAAAACAAACAAGCAAGGAAGGAACGGCGTGCTTATTAATTATCTTGATCGCTTGCTATGCTTACCGTAGATGTCGGCGACGGCCTCCATGGCTTTCTGCTTCGTCCTGTCGTCGGTCATGGTTGGCACCCGGAGCACCACCTTCTGCTGGCATCGGCCGGCGAACGACACGGTTAGAGCGAGAGATTCTTCTCTTTAGCCATGCATGGAAAAGAGAAGGAGAGGAACTGAGGAGATGCATGCATGCATATGGTGTCAGGAACCGCGAACCTGGGCCATCGATCTCGCTCAACTATGAGTAGCTAGCCTTCTTTGGATTATTTGGATGGATGGCAGTAGTCAGTAGAGGAGGGACCGGAGAGGCTGCCTTCAGAGTTCAGACCCCGGACCCCGGACCCGGAGAGCTACTAAGCTGAGAACGAAGCTCTATTTCTTCAGAACTGGCAACTAATGGCAGGAGTAATGTGAACAAATAAAGGGGAAGAGGGAAGAGTGTTGCGGCTGCCACTGGTGTTAATACGTAGACTATAGAGTCTGCTGAGCTGAGGTGAAGTCACTGTAGGCCCGGCCTGTCCACTTTGATTGGATTGGATGAGCACTAGTAGGACAGAACAAAACGTTTCCTCTGTCACTCTCTGCCATGTTAGAGCTGGACTACACAATCCTTTGAATTAAATTAACCACGGCAGGACAAAGCACACGTCTATATTATATTCTTTGTCTTATTATAGATAGCCTTCGTTGTTTCTGAAATTGGGTTTTGAATTGTTTTGCTCTATATAATTTTTTATTTGCCTGGAGATGTTGAGTTGATGTAAGCCGGCCGGATACTTCTTTCTTTTTATTGGCGTCAGAGTTCAGGCTCCCCAAGTTGACGTCGGTGCGCCACCGCTGTCAGGCAGTGGCGGAGACTTTCGTGCGAATGCATGCCTGAATGATTAAGCCCTCGTTTATTTCCACCCCAACTTCTAAAAAATTGCTATAAGACATCGCATCGAATGTTCAGGCATTGGCGAAAAGAGACTTTCAAATGCGAATGCATGCCTGAATGATTAAGCCTACGTTGGCCCTCTGAATAGTCCGGCGAACAGGGCCGTTATTAGGGACCTGCTTTAAACCTTTTTCTCCGTCACGGGATCGGACCATCTATTTTTCTTCCTTGAAATCTTAACGTAGGAGTACGCCGCAGCAGCATTCACATGTGCAGAAACAATCCGGCCGCCGGTCGACGTCAAAGTCGGCGGCGGTGGCAAGCGCAGCGCAGCGTAGCCGTGACGTCGCCGTCGGTCGTCGGTCGCCGCGTCCAGGATTCCTTCCTGGTTCCTGCCTGTCACGGTGGCACCGGCACCGGACAAAATGGCAGATCGAGCTGAGAGCTGAGAAACTGTGACTGGAATCGGGTGGGTTGGGGGACAGGCCACCTTCCCTTCCATTCCATTCCCGTCCCAATCCCATGCAGGAGTAGAGGAGGCGGTAAGAGTAGCTTAATAGGGTTCTCGCGTGCTGGTATTATGAAAATACATTCATCGATTTATGCACTAATTATACATATAAATATTAATATTTTTTAATAATATTTTATCAAACTTGAAAATATTCAACCTGTTGGAAAAACAAGGAATAGGTGCGTTACATTCGCGCTCTCCTCGACAGCTCACAGGAAGATGGTTTGTTACCACTTACCTTCGCCATGGGCCCATGGCTGCTATGCCTGTGTTTGACTTCTTTCGTTTTGATGATACCTAAAAATAATCTAACTTCTTTTCTTTTTCTATTGTCAATCTTCTGTGTAACTCCTAAAAGTATTTTTGTATTTGCATACAAATGAATCCAAGGACGCAAGGGACCATTCCAACCAAAGCTCTCAATTTTAATTCGGAGCTAAGTTAGAAGTCTCTATAGTGGGATGCCAACACCAAAGTAAATTACTTCAGGGAGAAGTTGATGCTTCAAAGTTACTTTTGCAGAACTAATACTCTTCTAAACCATAATTGCACACCACGCACAAGCAACTTCAACTTTCTGTCAAATACATCACCTAAAACCTCAAAGACATCGGCGGAACCACAGAAAAAACTAACTAGGGCCAAGATGAATGTAAGACTCGGTTCAAGAACTTCTTTCCTTTCAAATACCTACTACTACAATGGCTGAAGCAGGGTTATTTAAGAAAAATTCAGACCTAGCCCCCTAGTTCCGCTAGTGCTCAAAGACACTACTACACGCATGTCGGTGTTTTCGGACCACCGACGAGTAAATTTGTATTTGCACGTCTGGCTCGGATGGTGTGCTCAGAGGACACAAGGGTTTATACTGGTTCGGGCGGAACGTCCCTACATCTAGTTCGCTGCTGCTCGTGTTTCAGGCACTTGGTTTGCAGTAGGGTTTACAAACAGACGAGAGAGGGAGAGGATCCCAAGTCTCTGGTGGAAGGAGTGAACGGGTGCTGAGAGCTCACTTGTCGCTCAGCCGTGTGCTCGTATTGTGCTCTTGTGTCCAGATCCCCCAGGTAGGGGCGCCCTGCTTCTCCTTTTATCGGCGAAGGGAAAGCGCGGGTTACAAAGGAGGAAAAGGAGAAGAACGAAAGAGAGAAGAAGGCTTCCAGGGTTGCCGATTTCTTCTTCTCCTTCATGCGGGTCCCACCGATCCTGTAGATGTCAACAGGGATGGCTCCATGTAGCGGCCCTGTTCGTCACTGGCGCCATGCGCAGGCATCATCTGCTAGTCATGGAGTTCCACTCCGTCCCGGCGGACGTCGTGGTGAACTGACGCGTCTGTTAGCGTCCGTACGAGGATTAGGCAAAACAACACCGGTACGTCCAAACACTGTTCTTAATGTGAATCCCCAGGTATGGCCCGTCATGGCCACGGGTTACATCGAGGTGTGCCAGTCTCTTCCCTAGCGTCAGAGTTTTGACCTAGGCCTATACACTTGGACCTGGAGTGGTTGGCGGTGGTATGGGTTCCTATCGGACGAGACGGAACCCGCGTCCTCGAGGTCGGGCGAGACGGAGCTCGTGACCTTGGGCGAGACGAAAACCGCGTCCTTGGGGTCGGGCGAGATGGAGGCCGCACCCAAGGGGTCGGGCGAGACAGAGCCAGCGGCCTCGAGGTCAGGGAAGACGGAGCCCGCGGCCTCGAGGTCAGGCGAAACGCAACCAGCGGCCTTGGGGTAGGGCGAGACAGAGCCCGCACCCAAGGGGTCAGGCGAGACGAAGCCCGTGGCCTCAAGGTTGGGCGAGACGGAGCCCGCGCTTTGGGGTCGGTCAAGACCTTTTAATACGTCTTGAGTCATCCGGAGAAGTCAGCGTGGGCGCTAGCTTTCTTACTTTGGGTATCCCTAATTTTGATACCGGACAATGCACTACAACCAAGTGCGAGCGCCACCCATAAGACCAGTCTTAGTGATGGTTCATGTCCCAGATTTCAACACATCCATATTTTAAAAATAGTGCAGAAGAGTTTCATTAAACTCTCATCATCTTTCTTCATAAATACGGAGTAGGTGCGCTACGTTCGCACTCTCCTCGACAACTCACAGGAGGATGGTGCGTTACCTTCGCCATGGGCCCATGCCTGTGTTTGACTTCTTTTGATTTGATCCCTAAAAAATTTCTAGCTTCTTTTCTTTCTATATCATCAATCTTCCCTGTAGCACCTAAAAGTATTTTGTACTTGTATATATTCCCTCCGTCCTAATATATAAGGCGTAATCACTTTTTATTCATGTCGCATAATATAAGACGTGCTCTCTCTAAACTCACATATATTGATGCAATAGTACTAGTGTTGGCGGAGAAAATTAAATACGTTTCTTAGTCTTTAAACCAAAAGTGATTACGTCTTATATACTGGGACGGAGGAAGTATATGAACCCAACTACCCAAGGACACAAGGACCATTCCAACCAAAGCTCTAACTTTTAATCCGGAGCTAAGTTACAAGTTTCCAACTCCAAATAAAATTACTTCACGGAGAAGTTGATGCTTCAAAGTTACTTTTGCAAAACTAATACACTTCTAAACCATAATTACCGAGTTCAACGACACGCACAAGCAACTTCAACTTAAGGCCCCGTTCGGCTTGCTGAAACTTGGCTGAAACTAGCTAAAAAATACTGTTCTGACTGAATTATTGTAAAAGAAAAATACTGTTTCAACTAAGAAAACGAATCGAACAAACCGATTTCTAGGTAAGCCGAACGGCCAGATGTCAAAGACGTAAACCTCAAAGACACTACTCCACGCACAACCATGTGCGAGCGCCACCCATATATTTTTTTAAAAAAAAAACCTGCTGCGGGTCATCAATGCCGAGCTATATGCCTATATCACACACTAACATACTAGGCTCCAAGCATTTAAGGCCAAGACGTGATTGTTGATTTGTTTCTACAAATATTCCTTCTAGTTGTATTTATAACTTACGACATAAAAATGACTACAAAGCTAGTCTAACAAAGACAGGGCCTGTTCTGGCGGTGGTATTTCGATTGATTTTGACTGATTCAATAGTATTTTTTAAGAGAGAATAAGCTAAAATAAGCACAAGCCGATTGAAAAGTAGATAAAAGTAGATGAGCAGAACAGGATGAGGGATTTTTATTATGTTCATGTGTAACTCAAACCTACACAAAATAAAACGGAAAGTCAAGCCTCAAGCCGCAAGTCCGCAACCCATATATGGCTCATGCTTACTACTCCCTCTATTCTAAATTTTAAGCCACTTTGAATTTTCTAGATACATGGTTTTTATTATATATTTAGATATAAGATATGTCTAGGTGTATAGTAAAATTTAGAACCGAGAGAATAGTTCAACTTACAATTTAGAACTGAGACTAGTTCAACTTACAATTTAGAACTGAGAGAATAGTATTTTGAAGAATATGTTTTTATACTTAATCTTTCTATCTCATAAAGAGCGAAAAGTTTCTCTCACTCCCTCACCAGTTCATCACTCACTCCTCTTTTGCCCCACTCCACCACTCGTCATCCGCCTCTCGCTCACTCTCTCCCTAGTCTATTTTCTTCCGTCCCTCATTCTTCCCTCTCCGTCCGTCACTAGCTCGCTCCTTTTTCATCCCTTGGTCCATCACCTCCTCTCAATTTCTTTCTTCC